AAATCTCTTCACGTTAAAAATGTACCTACCCTTTGACGCAGTTCTGCTTTTGGGAATTTACCTATTAAATACAATCCATGCTAGCCAATATCTAGTCATTGCAGCATTGTTTATAGACGCAGAATATTGGAAATAACCTGAATTCCCACCAACAGAACAGTGCTTAAAAATTATGGTACACATATATATTGGATTATGTAGTTCTTTAAAAGAATGAGAATTATTGATACCTACTGATATGGAACAATCTACAAGATATATATCTTTGTATGTTATAGTACAAGTTACAGTATAGTATACATAATGCTACTACATCTGTAAAAAAGGGCATGTATATACATATGGTTTTACATGCACATAATATCACTTGGAAGGATTTTGAAAGCATTTAACATTATCTGTTTAATATGGTATTCTAAAAGCTTTATGTAATTAACCCACTTAATCCTCATAACAACTTTATTAATGTAGATGATATTATTCCCATCTTACAGATGAGGAAACTGAAGCATAGAGAATTAAGTAACTTGCTCAAAAGCACCAGAATCTGATAACAATGATTATCTAGATTATTCTAACATCTTTTTCAGCTGTGTGTGTGTGTGTGTGTGTGTGTGTGTGTGGTTAGCTATTTATGCATCACTGTAAACAATTTATTTTAAAAGTTTATCTGTACCATTAGGAAAATGAGTAGAAGACCACAATGAGCATACTATTTACAAGCTAGTCAATCTCGCTAATGTTCAACAATATGCAAAGTAAAATAATTTCTTAGTTTCAAAAAGATTAGAAAGATTGACAATGTCTATAGTTGGGGAGTACGAGGAAATGGGCATTCTCATACACTATTACTAGGAAGATAAAATAACAGCATCTTTTGGGAGAGAAGTTTGGTAATGGGTTGTACTAGTTTGGTAGGCCTGTTTTAACAAATTACCACAAACTCGGTCACTTAACAGAAATTTATTGTCTCATGATTCTGGGGACTAGAAGTCCTAGATCAAGGCATTAATAGAGTTAGTGTCTTCTGAGGGCTTTAAGAAAGAATTGGTTCCAGGCCCTTTCCCTAGCTTCTGGTGGTTTGCTGGCAATCTTTGGTGTTTCTTGGTTTGTAGATGCTTCACCTGCATCTCTGCCTTCATCTTTACTTGGTGTTCCCCCTGAGTGTGTATCTGTCTTCAAATTTTACCTTTTCATAGGGATATAAGTCATTGGATTAGGGTCCACTCTAGGGAGCTCATTTTAACTTGACTTGCTTTGTAAAGACCCATTCTCCAAATAAGGTCACAATCTGAGATCCTGGGGGTTAGCAATTCAACATATGAACTTTGGGGGACACATAACATGGGAACCAAATTTTTAAATATGCATATCCTTTGACCTACCAATGCCACTTATGGGACTCTGTCTTTAATAAGTGATCTGAAAAGAAAAATAGTCTGAACATATGCACATACATACTTAGAAGGATATTCACTATAGGACATTACAGAACATTATTGGAATCAACCTAAATACTCATAAGACATTTGGCTGAATTATGGTATATCTGCTTCCATGGTTAAAATGGATCGGTATGTACTGACAGAAAAAAAGATATGTAGAATGGGGTCCTGGCTTGCTTGGTCAGTAAAGTACAAAACTTTTGATCTCAGGATTCTAATTTCAAGTTCCACCTGGGCTAAGAGATTGCTTAAAAATAAAATCTTTAAAAAATATGCAGAGTATATTAAGTATAAAAAGTAGGTTTGGGGTGGCTGGATGGTTCAGTCATTTAAGTGTCTGACTCTTGATTTCAGGTCTTGATCTCTGGGTTGTGAGATCAAGCCTCACGCGGGGCTCCAAGCTTAACACATAGTCGGCTTGAGATTCTCTCTCTCTCTCTCTCTTCCTCTGCCCCTTCCCCTATTTCTCTTAAATAAATAAAATCTTTATTTAAAAATATAGAAAGGTTTTTCAAAAAATTTTATTTATTTATTTGAGATAGAAAGTGAGAGAGAGCAAGAATGGGGGGGGGGGCAGTGGGAGAGGGAGAAACAGGCTCCCTGCCAAGCAAGGAGTCCAACGTAGGGCTCAATCTTAGGACCCTGGGATTATGACCTGAACCAACCGCAGACACATAACAGTCAGACCCACCCAGGAGCCCCAAAAAGCAGGTTTACCGAATAGAGTGCATGTTATTATCCTATTTGTATTAAATTTAAAATAAAAACACAAATTTTAATAATGTATTTTTTTAAAGATTTATTTATTTATTTATGATAGAGATAGACAGAGAGAGAGAGAGAGAGAGAGAGGCAGAGACACAGGAGGAGGGAGAAGCAGGCTCCATGCCAGGAGCCCAACGTGGGACTCGATCCCAGGACTCCAGGATCACACCCTGGGCCAAAGGCAGGCGCTAAACCGCTGAGCCACCCAGGGATCCCCTAATAATGTATTTTTAAAAATTAATAATGGAATAGGCATTTTCACTAAACCCCACATATGTACTCTCAAATTGGTAAAAACAAACATATTTTTACTCTTAAAAAAAAGTGATGTTAAATTCAATCCCCTTTATTCTGCTTTTCTTTCTTTTATTATTATTAATTTTTATTTTATTATTCTTAAATATTTTACTTATTTATTCATGAGAAACACACACACACAGAGAAGCAGGCTCCATGTAGGAAGCCCGACGCCGGACTCCATCCCGGGGCCCCAGGGTCATGCCCTGGGCTGAAGACAGATGCTCAACCGCTGAGCTACCCGGGGATCCCACTATGAACATTTTAAAACATACTTACACGTAGTGAGAATCGTACAACACTAACTCATTCAGTTACACAATCATCACAATCCTTGCCCCATTTTACCCCTATGCAAGGAATTCATGGTCTAAACATTTTTTAAAATTTATTTATTTATGATAGTCACAGAGAGAGAGAGAGAGAGAGAGAAAGAGGCAGAGACATAGGCAGAGGGAGAAGCAGGCTCCATGCACCGGGAACCGGACGTGGGATTCGATCCCGAGTCTCCAGGATCGCGCCCTGGGCAAAAGGCAGGCGCTAAACGGCTGCACCACCCAGGGATCCCGGTCTAAACATTTTTAAAAGGACGTTTTCTTACAAAATCTCAATGCCATTTTCATGCTTAATAGAATAACAATTCTTTGGTTAGTTGGTATCATGTAAATACCTGGTCCATCATCTAAATTCCCCAATTGTCTCAAAAATGTCTTTTATATAGTTGGTTGGTTTGAACCCTTAAACAAGATCCACACACCTTACCTTTGGCTGCAAGGTCTCTAAGGCTTTTTAGATTCGAGCCCTCCGCCCTCACTCCCATCTTTATGGTTGCCATTATCCTACTGCACAGCAGACTTCAATTATATTTGCACGCATTTACAGGGGGGAAAAGACACATCTACACATTTGAAAGGAACCACACACACTGTATTTTGAGGTTCTGGGAACGGCTTTTTAAAGAAATATTTCAAGTGGTGATAAACACACACCATTACTGAGCCCATATAAACATACAGTAACGTGTAGCTCCATCCTCGTCCCATGACCGCATTTACAATTTCGCAAACCACAGCTTCGGTCCCGGCGGGCGCGGCCTCGACAGCAGGGGGCAGGGTTACCTCCCCTAGAAGCCAAGAGCCGAGGAGGCGCCCTTCCTTCGGTAAACGGGGAGACTGGTTTTCAAGGGAAAAACAAAAGTAAACGGAAGTTTCATTTAGCATAGAGATAAGGTAAATCGCCGGAGAACGTGGTGTTGACAAAACATCAGCGAATTAAATAATAAAGAGATTCTGGTTGAAAGAGCAATCAGATTTGGTTTAAAAGAGGGGCTGGGAAAAAAATAAAAGAGGGGCAGGGCTATTGGAGGACATGGATGGAGTGATGGTGGGCAACTAAGGGAATAGGAGGAAGGCTCGGAAACCCGCTCAGTCGCTGCCGCCGGAGGGAAGAACCCGACGCCCGGCAGGAAGCCCTTGGGGCGACTGGAGTTGACCCAAGGTCGGGAGCAAACATCGGGGAGCAAATCCGGGTATCTAAAAGGTTAATACTGGAGCTGGGTTTTCGAGAGACTGGGAAAAATCCGGAAGAAAAAAAAAAAAAAAAAAAAAGCACCGGGCACAAAGCAGGTGAGCAAACCACTGCAGCCCGCCTCCCTGCGCCCAAGGTTAAGACCTGCGAGAGCCGGCGCGCCTCCACCAGGTGACGATCACGTAAGTGCCGTGACGTCGGTACACGTCACCGCCCATGCCTCCGCCGCGGGAAGTAGTCCCCATCGCGCCCGCTCCGAAGGGACCCGAATGAGGGAGCCTCGAGTCCCTCAGGACGTGAGTTCCGGGAGCGGCCGGTTCGCAGCCAATCCCTGGGTAGGGGGGCGTGGCTAGCTGATTCCTCCGCCCGCGCTTGCTTGTGCTGAGGCCGAGGGAGCCGCCATTTTGGATGCTGAGCTTTGAGAGCCGAGTCGGTGTCAGCCGTTTTCACGCCTGGATTCAGCCCTGTGAGTCTTATCGGCAGTCTGTCTTACCGTTAAGGGTCTTTGTTTTTCTCCTCGCGCTGAGCTCTGGATTTAGGAGTTCCCAAGTCTGGGTTCAGACGACCCTGAGGTGGCAAAGGGAGGTGAAAAGGGAGGATCCTGGGTCTGGGGGTCAGGCCGGAGGCCCGCGGCGCGGGAGGCCGCTTGAGGCGGGGGCTGGGGGCGTGGCGGGGCGCGAGCCGCGTGGAGACCGCTGGTCCCGGATACTTGAGGCGGCGGAACTTTCCTCTTGTGCTTCCTGCCTGGAAGAGTTCTTCCCCCGAGGCGGAAACGCCGCGGCCTCGGCGCCTGTTGGTGACGGGGCTCGGCCTGCGATCTCGGGGTGACACCCTGTGCCCTGTTGGACTGGTCCAGAGAGGCTCCGGGAAGGTCGGGGTCTGCGTTGACCGCTCCACCTGGCGGGGCGGCCTCCATCGGCCGGAGGGAGTCGGCGAGCAGCGGTCTTTGCCCCCCGTGTCGTAGGGGAGACCCTGTGAGGAGCCCGAGGCCCTCTCCTCGTCTCGCTCCTGTCCGTATCCTCCGCTCTCTCTTCCGGGGTGCTGGAGCTCAGGGCTTCAAACTCAGCCGCGTAAACTTTCGCCGGGATCGGGATCCACAGAGGGTCCGTTTACCATTAGGCGGTAAGGAAAGGCACAGCCCCTTCATTAAAATTAAAAGCCGCTTATAAATCACTCTTTTCGAGGGGGGGGGTTTGTAATTCTTTGTTCCGGGTTATGCGTTTAACTTTGTATTGAAATTTCATGCAGACTAAACGGTAGTAATGAATTAACTCCTCATTTAGCTTCAAAACGATCAGTTCGGGGCCAATTTTGTTTATATCTCTCCTTGTGCGTGTATTTAATAAAATAGTAATTGAGATGCCTGTGAGTGGGCGTAGGCACGGAGAAGCCTTTGACTCCTTTACCTACAGTCCAGGAGTCCGTGGGAAATTTTGTTTTTACAACTTTCTCAGAAGCACATCTACTGGGAATAAAAGGACTTCGTGATACCCTTTTCTTAGAAAGTAAAAGAGTGTTTTGAAACTTTAATGTGGGCAGCCCAGGTGGCTCAGCGGTTTAGCGCCGCCTTCGACCCAGGGCCTGATCCTGGAGACCGGGATCGAGTCCCGCGTCGGGCTCCCTGCATGGAGCCTGCTTCTCCCTCCGCCCGTGTCTTTCTGCCTGCCTCTCTCTCTCTCTCTCTCTCTCTCGCTCTCGTGTGTCTCTCATGAATAAATAAATCTTAAAAAAAAAACTTTAATGTTAGCATTGGCTCTCATTTTCAAAGAAGTACAGTTACTGTTTTGTCCAAATGATTTGTTTTTACTTTCTTCCTGTGCCTCTGGGCTTCTAAGTGATCAGGAGCCTCCGGAATCCCCAACTCTAGGCTTAAGTTCTCATTCATTTAAAATTAGAATCAAGTCCCAGCTGTAGGTAGTCTCGTCTGACTTTAAAAATAGAAAATGGGGGATCCTTGGGTGGCGCAGCGGTTTAGCGCCTGCCTTTGACCCAGGGCGCGATCCTGGAGACCCGGGATCGAATCCCACGTCGGGCTCCAGGTGCATGGGGCCTGCTTCTCCCTCTGCCTGTGTCTCTGCCTCTCTCTCTCTCTGTGTGACTCTCAATTTTTGTTTTTTGTGACTATCATAATTTAAAAAAAAAATGGGGTGTAGTCTAATGAAATTAGACTAATGAAACTGTATGCATTAGTTTGCACATCAATACTAATTTCAGCATCATTTATATGACAGATGTCAGTTGGGGAAATAATTTGAAAATTACTACTCTGGAATATTAGCCATTAAAATAAAACTAAAGACTGTAGCATAACAGATGCTATGTTACATGATAAAATGCGGGGTTCAGTAGTGTCAGAGTCCATGATTACAACTGTGTAAAAATATGAGGAAAAACTCTTGGTGAGATGTATACCCAGTGACTCCTGTGATTTTTTTTTTTAATATTTATTTTGTTGAAACAAGACAAAAATACTTTGATAATATCTACACATTTCAATATTTATAGCTTCCAGAATATATAATGGTCTCTGCTTTCTGTAGTCTGTACTTTTCTTGTGTGTTACACATGATGCTACTGGTCTTGTGACCCTTTATTTTATTAACTTTTTAATCTTGATTAATTTGATCAGTGAAGGTTTGATAACAGTTGACAGTGTGAAAATACAGTAAAGTTGGCTTTTTTTTTTTAAGATTTTATTTATTTATTCATGAGAGACACACAGAGAGAGAGAGATAGAGAGGGGCAGAGACACAGGCAGAGGGAGAAGCAGGCTTCATGCAGGGAGCCTGATGCAGGACTCGACCCCAGATTCTAGGATCACGACCTGAGCCGAAGGCAGACACCCAAACCGCTGTAGGATATATTTCTTAAAAAGACTCGAAGGTTGAAATTACTCCTTGATCCATGAACTGCAGAATGGATGTTGTGTTATCAGGCATGAAAACGTTAATCTCATACATCTCCATTAGAGCTCGTGGGTGACCAGGTGTGTTGTCAGTGAACAGTAAAAGGAATCTTTTTTATTCTGAGCAGTAGGTCTCAATGGTGGGCCTAATATCTTTAGTAAACCGTGTTGTAAACATGTGCTGTCATTCTGGCTTTGTTGTTTCATTTATAGAGCACAGGCAGAGTGGATTTAGCATAATTCTTAAGTGCTGTAGGATTTTCAGAATGGTAAATGAGCATTGGCTTCAACTTAGTCACTGGCTGCATTAGCTTTTTTTTTTTTTTTTTTTTTAATTTTCTTTTCATTTATTTATTCATGAGAGACACAGGCAGAGGGAGAAGCAGGCTCCATGCAGGGAGACTGACATGGGACTCTATCCCGGGACCCCAGGACCACACCCTGGGCGGAAGGCCGCGCTAAACCGCTGAGCCACCTGGGCTGCCTGATGCATTAGTTTCTAACAAGAGTTACTGGGTCCTTTGAAGCTTTAAGTCCAGGCATTGACTTCTGAGTATGGAAGTCCTAGATGGCATCTCCTTCCAGTATAAGGCTGTTTTGTCTACATTTAAAACCTGTTGTTTAGGGATACCTGGGGGCGTCATCTTGGTCTGGGGATTGAGTCCCACATTGGAGTCCTGTAAGGAGCCTGCTTCTCCCTCTGCCTATGTCTCTGCCTCTCTGTGTCTCATGAATAAATAAATAAAATTTTTTAAAAACTAAAATCTTGTTTAAAGGGCACCTGGGTGGCTCAGTCGATTAAGCAATCCAACTCTTTGCTCAGCTCAGGTCTTGATCTCAGGGTGGTGAGTTCAAGCCCCATGTTGGTCTCTGTGCTGAGCATGGAATCTACTTAAAAAAATATAGCCACCTTTAATCTTAGTTACATCTTCTGGATAATTTGCTGCAGCTTCTGCATCAGCACTTGCTGTTTCACGTTGCTCCTTGCTATAGAGGATGGCTTCTTTCTTTAAACTTCATGAGTCAGTCTCTGCTAGCTTCAAGCTTTTCTTTGTAGCTACCTCTCCTCTCTCAGTTAGTAGAACTGAAGAGAGTTAGGAATTTGCTCTGGATTAGGCTTTGGCTTAGGGAATGTTGTGGCTCGTTTGATCTTTTATCCAGAACACTAAAACGTTCTCCATATCAGCAATAAGGCTGTTTTGCTTTCTTATCATTTCTTCACTGGGGTAGCACCTCTCGTTTCCTTCAAGAAATTTTCCCCTGCATTTACAACTTGGCTAACTGGTGCGAGAAGCCTAGGTTTTGGCCTAGCTCAGCTTTTTTTTTTTTTTTTAACACATTATTATTATTATTTAAGATTTCATTCATCTATTCATGAGAGACACAGAGAGAGGCAGAGACACAGGAGGGAGAAGGCTCCATACAGGAAGCCTGACCTTGGACTTGATCCCCGGTCTCCGGGATCAGGCTCTGGGCTGAAGGTGGCGCTAAACCACTGAGCCACCTGGGCTGCCCCAGCTCAGTTTTTTGACTTTTTTTTTTTTTTTTAAGATTTTATTTATTCATGAGAGAGACAGAGATAGGCAGAGACATAGGCAGAGTGAGAAGCAGGCTCCCCACAAGGATCCACATGTGGGACTTGATCCCAGACTGCCCTGAGCTGAAGGTAGGTGCTGAACCCTTGAGCCACCCAGGCGTCCCTTGACATGTTTTTCTTAATGAGTTTAATCATTTGTAGCTTTTGATTTATAGTGAGAGACATTTGACTCTTTACCTTGAACAGTTAGATACCATTATAGGGTTATTGATTAGCTTAATTTCAATATTGTTTCCTAGGAAATAGGGTTGCCTAAGCAGAGAGAGAGAGACGGGTGGAGCAATCAGAACATACACATAAATCAGTAAAGTTCATTGTCTTACATTGGAGTGGTTGGTGGCACTCCAGTTACAATTTTACAATAGTAACATCAAGGATCTGTGGTCACAGATCACTGTAACATATGTAATAATAATAAAGGTTGAAATACTGTGAGTGAGAATTACCAAAATGTGACCCAGGCATGGATTGAGCAAATGCTTTTGGAAAAATGGTGCTGATAGACTGGCTTGATGCAGGGTTGCAAACCTTAATCTGTAAAAAATGCAGTATCTGAGAAGTGCAATAAAAAGAGGTATGCCTGTGTATGAACTAGTTTCGTAATTACTAGTTCATAATCATTTCCTAGGATTTATGTTACAGTCATTTACATGTCTTAGAGTTGTTTTTTGTCTTTCTCATTAGCTTGTAAGATCTTTGAAACTTTAGGGCGAGGTCTTATAATGTGTCTTTCTGTGGTGGCTTAGCACAGTGCTTGATAGAAGAGCACACAACAAACAGTTGGTGAGTGAATGCATGACAGTAAACATGTTGAGGCATAACATCTTAGAATAATCTGTGAATCATAAAAGGAATTTTAAATGTGTTGTACAGTATTAGTATATGGTGCATATATATACACATACATATATTTATTCATATATGTTTTACTTATGTGGATGTTTGCATATATATAGAACAGTTAACTTGACCAGAATATTTTATTAACTTTCAGATTGTTCCTAAATTTAATATTCCTAATCATGCCAGGTACAAAGATTATGGTATTTAGCTTTGGAAACAGGTTCAAATCCTGGAATGGTAATGGAGTTGGTATTTTGTATTAGACTAGTTTAGGGTCTAATGACTTATTTCATATATTGATAATTATTTAGGATCTTTAGTTGTTGCCTTTGTGGTTTAATGCATTATCTTTAATGATTCATGGTTTTTGTAGAACAGGAATCTAGTTTCTGAAAGCTGAAAATCCTTGAAACTTAGGGGTTACCTGGCTGGTTCAGTCAGAAGAGCATGCGACTCTTGATCTCCAGGTTGTGAGTTTGAATACCAGTATGGGTTGTAGAGATTACTAAAAACAGAAATTAAAAACTTAAAGAAAATTCTTGAAACTTAAGTTAACAAAATACTTTGGCAAATTGTTTTTTTTCCTTAAATCTAAAACAAAAATTAAGTCAGTGGAATTAAAACAAAGAATTTTTTTTTAAGAATGTTATTTTTATTTAAATTTCTTACTAATTAACAATAGTAACAGCTTTGTACAAAGCCCTGTGCCTGGCAGTGTGGGAATAACAATGGAACCGCAGAAATAGGTTTGACCAAAGGAAAAAAGAAGCTTTGACT